TAAGGGAACCTACCAATCACAGCACCTGGCCACTACTCACTGAAGGGAGGCAAAGGGATCCCACTACATTGAGGCAGGACAAAAATTGGAAATGTCAGCTCACATCTTTTGTTTTATTGCTTTTCTTTTTCTTGTGATTATAAATAGGACTACAGACTGGGAGGGTCAGGCTCTGAAAGAAGAGGGTTTCAGGGCTGCTTCAAAAAAAATCAGAAATAGGAGATGCTTTGTATTAGCTCTAATTTTATTTTGTCTTTTTTTCTTCAAACTAATCAGTAATAAGATCTTTAAGAAATCTCTAGTGGATTTTTTAGAGTTAAACAAAAAAAGTCACAGCAGTTCCCTGTTATCTAGTTTTGCTTACCACATTTTCAATTACACACAATCAGCCTGAAACAATTAAATAGAAAATTTCTGAAATAGACAATGTATAAATTTTAAATATTGCACCATTCTGAGTAGCAAGATGAAATCTCACAGCATTCCCTATATCCTGCCTGGCATAGGAATCATCCCTTTGTCCAGTGTATCCTCACTGTATACACTACCCCCTCCTCTTGCTCACCAGGCAGCCATCTTGATTATAAGATCAACTATTGTGGTTTTGCAGTGCTTGTTGATAAGATTTAGTACTACTGCAAGTTACTCAGCCACTGGGGCTTTTGGAGCAGTTCTCCCTGTGGATAATCTGAGCAGTGGGGAAGCTACTGTCCCAATTCTATTTCAAGGAAATCACACAGGCCTGGGGAGGAAGCAAATAGAAATATCAACAACTCCATGATCTGGTTGGTAGGATTATTAGTGAATTTCACCGGGTTTTGTTTTGTTTTGTTTTTTGTTTTCTTACTTTGGTATGTCCTCAAGGTTCAATTTTACAATTATAATTTTACCTTTATGTCTTGGGGGAGGGGAAGACACTTGTCAGTGCCTGTGAGGAAAAGGTAATACTGTGAAACCACATGTTCTTTAATAACTGTGGCAGGATGCACAGAACAACCTAGGAGTGTGAAAATGAGAAGACTGAATGGCATCCAGGGCTTATCTCAGACTGAAGAGCCCAGGTCCAGCCCCGTCCAGTCCCCAGAGCCCAGATAGAGTGCTCCTCAGTTCCACCCTCTCTCCAAAGGTGCTTCTGCTGGTTTGCAGATGTTCCAGCGGATTGTGGGTTTGTGTTTGGGCCCAGCCTGCCGTGCCGTGTGATGGCACAGAGGCAGAATGGCTGGGCATCTGGAGGGGGCACCTGTGGAGACGACAGCTTCCTCCACCAAGCCCCTGGGAATCCAGTGACCCTGAGGCAGGGCCAACAGGAGGACCTGGAGCAGGAGGGGAACACGGACACTGTCTATAAGGGACACCAAGCTACACGGGAGGCTGTTGAAGGACACTCCTACTGTGGGGGGCATGGGGCCAAGGCTGTCACTGAAGTCAGGGGGTAGTGAGGACTGCAGAGCTGCAGGTCAGCGTCTGACAAGGAGGAGGGGACTCTGTTGAGCAGCATCCCCAGCAGGCCTCCTAGTGGGGCTGGGTCCTGGCCTCCATGTTCTTCCGGACTCCTGATGCATAGGCTTGGCGTAGCACCGTGCCTGATGCACGAGTCTATACCCTGAGCCCAGGAGGAAGGGCTGTGGGCTTCTCACGGGGCCCAGTGCCCCCCCCCCCGTGCCCTCTCGGTTCCTGAGCTGTGCAAGGGAACTGTGCAAGGGAGTTGTGCAAGGGAGCTGTGCAAGGGAGTTGTGCAAGGGAGTTGTGCAAGGGCGCTGTGCAAGGGTGCTGGAGGAGCTGCAGGGTGCTTAGGAGAGGGGTCAGAGCCAGCTCTGGCCCATGGGACAGTGTTGGGACCACAAGGCGGTGCACTGGGACCTGGAGAGCATGGCAGCAGGGAGAGAGGTGCGTGCTGTCCTGGACACCTGGCCCTCTACCAGACACAACTTCACACGGAGAGCACCAAGACCTCGGCCACAGGACAGAACAACACGAACCAACGTCTGTCCCCGTGGGTGACACCCAGGGAGATGGCGTTTTTGGTTGCTCAGTGAACATTCTTGAAGACCTGTGGGGGTGCTCACCTGTGAGCTGTAAGCCCCCGGCTTCCTCGGACAGTGCTCCTGCTGTCCATCTTGCCCATTACCATACCCACACGCGAAGTCTCTATTTTCAAATATTGGGCTGATGACCTCGACCTTAGACCTTTACCTCTGTGGCCATGCAACGTCCTCACCTCAATGTGGCACCCTGTCTATCACCCGTCTGTCACCTGGGCTCCCTCCACACGCCTGCCTCTGCATCCCCTCCTCTCGTACCTGATCCAACAGCTCTTCAACCCCACTGTAACCCCAACACACTGACCCTGCCACCCTGCACTACTGTCTCTCCCTCGTGGTCCCGGGATCCACCGCCACCAGCGCCCTCACCACCACACAACGCCTTGGCTGCTCCCTCATCCCTCCTTCAGGCTAGCCAGGTTCTCAAGTTGAACAGCTCAGATGTTCTGGTAGCTTTCTGTTTCTTGCTTTCTTCTCTCTTTCCAAACTGACCACACCTTTCTATCTTCTTTTCCACCCTCAGCTGATGGCCTTGAGAAAAAGGTCAGTCAGGAGCAGGCCTCCTCAAAACCTCCCAACCCACAAAACCCCTCTGTGCGAATGCGGCCTCCGTCCACGCTCCTTCCACAGGCTCCTTTGGCTTGGAGAAGGATGAGGAGGAACGCAAACACTCCCACTGCTGAGTGGCGACAGAAGATGGTGCAGCCACTTTGGAAAACAGGTTTCCAGTGCCTTAAGAAGAGAACACGCCGCACAGGGAACCTCAGGTATCCACCCAAGGAGAGTGAGGACGTCCCCACAGACTTGCAGGTGAGGGCTCACACGGCACTGGCCACCTCAGACGCAGAGCAAGGCCATCTGATGTCCACCAACTGGTGAAGAGCAAACGGGTCTGGGGAACCCAGCAGCGGTACCACTCAGACACCGGAGTGCGCGACTGCTCTGCGCCACGATCTGGATGAACCTCAAATGCAACCCCAAGGGGAGGAGCCAGACTCAGGCCTCGGCGCTGCTCCAGCCTCTGCGTGAAGTGTCCAGGGAAAGCCGGTCAGGGCTGGCGGGGGACTGGAGGCCAATGGGGGTGAGGGGCCTTCGGGGGTGGCGGAAGTGACCTAAGACGACTGTGGTGATGCTCGTGCAGCTCTGAATTTGCTGGAAACATTCTCTTTTTATTTTTAAATGGATAAATTTTGTGATATATAAATTATACCTCAGCAAAACTATTTAAAATATGGACCAAAATAAATAAATCCCAAATGTGATCATTTTTCAAAGCTTCTGCTGCCACCCACCCCAGTCACTCCCATGTCTTGCCTACGTTAGTTAATAGTTTAAGTGGAATCTCTGTTGCCACTCCTAACCCCTTAGAATCTGTTCTCCCCACAGTTAGCAGAAGGGTCCTTTAAAGATGTAAAACAAATTACACCATGGCTCTGCCCAAACGTCTCTACTGTTCCTCATTCTACTCCAAAGAAAACTCACAGCCCCGCTGTGGCCCCAAGGCCCTGTGGGCTCCGCTCAGGGGACCCTGGCCTTCTTGACTCGCCCCTGGCCTCCTGGGATGTCTTCCAGTGAGGTGTCTGCACAGCCCGCTCGCGTCCTTCTGGCCCATGAGATTACCAGAGAAGACATCCTGACAGCCCTCCCCACCCGCCCCGTCCTGTCCCATAACCTCCTCCACGTTTCTTGATGGTATTCGCCACCTCCAGGCACAGTCTGGCCTGAGCGTGGGAGAGAGTGTGCGTCCCCACTGCTGCCCCTTCTCGAAAGGCAATCTTCTTGCATCTGCTTTGCTCATCACTGAGCCATTTGGCTCCCTGATGCAAGGCAGGCCATGCTATTTACAGAGGAGGAAATGAAGCTCGGGGACACTTAGCAATTTATTAATAGTCACAGAGCCTACGACTATCCAGGCTAGAACCTGAGGCCAGGGCTGTCTGTCCCAAAGCTGTGAGTCACTTAGTAGCTGAAGTCCACACTCACTCCATCAAGACAGGATCAAAGAAAAGTGGCTAAACAGGTCCACTCGACAGAGCTTTGTTATTCTGTTCATTTTATTTTTTTTTATTTTTTTTTTATTGTTGGTCGTTCAAAACATTACATAGTTCTTAATATATCATATTTCACAGTTTGATTCAAGCGGGTTATGAACTCCCAACTTTACCCTGTATACAGATTGCTGTATCACATCAGTTACCCTTCCATTGATTGACATATTGCCTTTCTAGTGTCTGATGTATTCTGCTGTCAGTCCTATTCTCTACTATCCCCCCTCCCCTCCCCTTTTCTCTCTCTACCCCTTCTACTGTAAATCATTTCTTCCATTTGTATTATCTTGTCTTAACCCTCCTTTCCTCTTATATATCATTTTGTATAACCCTGAGGATTGCCTTCCATTTCCATGCGATTTCCCTTCTCACTCCCTTTCCCTCCCACCTCTCATCCCTGTTTGATGTAAATCTTCTTCTCAAGCTCTTCGTCCCTACCCTGTCCTTGTTTACTCCCCTTATATCAAAGGGGTCATTTGGTATTTGTTTTTTAAAGATTGACTAGCTTCACTTAGCATAATCTGCTCTAATGCCATCCATTTCCCTCCAAATTCTATGATTTTGTCATTTTTTAATGTTATTCTGTTCATTTTAAATCAAAGGTAATGGTCTTAATGATTTCGAATCCCTTGATTCTTGGTATGTCAGCAAAATCTGTGTCATGCAAACACCAGAGACGTTGCTGCCGCTGTCTTGCCTTCCCAGCACGGGCTCTGGCCTTCAGAGAAGCCAGTCCCACGACTCTGCACCCCGAAATAGACACAGCACAGAAAACTTGAAGATTCCACGCACTTAGATAAATTCTTTTGGTGAGTGTACAACTTTCCTCCGCTGGCCCATCTGGCTTCTTGTCACTGCCCAGGAGGTGGAGAAGTGCCTCCTTGGTTAGAAGGAAAGAGAAGCCCAAACCTTTCATCTCTCATCTTTAATTGAGCATCAAGATTAGAAGGGTAGGAACATGAAAGATAGATAACATTCATTTGTCACCATCTCCCTCTTTCTCCAGAGCCTAAAGCACAGCGTCAGAGTTGCGCGTGTGATTTATTTGTGTGATCAGGAGATAACAACACTTTTAAAATGGTTCGAAATCTGTACACACAAAATGTAATCCAGAAAGGTACAGGATGCTTATTTGCAAATTTTAATCTCATCTCAATGTCAAGAGACTGGTTTTAGTTTCCTTTCTTCTATCTCTTCTTGTGTATTTTAGATATCTTCCCAACATATTATGGAGTGTGGACACAGTTGTGACCCAAGACATTCGGAGCATATTGGTGCCAGAGATAAAGGAACAAAAGGGAACGGTGGCCCCCAGGGCCACAATGGTGTGAGGTACCTCTCCAAAACACATCCAGGAAGTGGGGCTAGCTGCTCTGGTGCTTCCCCGAGATTCTGCCAATTACACAGAAAGGCAAACAAGGCTACCCTCCGCTGTCTCTCCTGAGTTTCAGAAGGTGAGGGATGAGATGGTGGATGACATTAGGCTGAAACCATCCCTGCACTGACCCCTGGGGAGAGAGCAATACCCTGCAGCCCACCACCCCCAGCCCAGGCTGGCTCAGACCAACACCAGGCTTAAAAGAAGAGTTATGACGGAATCACGGCTGATGGGGGAAGCTGGTTCCATTCTTCAGGCTTGCTAGGGTAGCTGCCATAGAAGAGAGTCCTTTCTGTTCTTCATCTACAGCTGTCCTTACAAAACAGATTTAAGTTCCTTGCAGAAAATGCATATGGAATCCCTAAGGGTCCTTCTGGAGTCAGCTCAACACTGCCTGGCAGAGGGGGCACGGCGTACCCACCTTGACATTGCTCGTGCATACTTTTCAATGAAGCCTAAGAGCAACTCTGTATTTCCGCATAAAACAGTAAATCACGTTTTCTTAATAGCAGCTGCAGCTGGAACACACTGCCCCTGCACACTGTCTGTTCACAGGCCCTTGTCGCTGTGCTGACTGAGGGTGACTGGCCTCCCCAGCATCACCCATTGACTTCTGGGCCACACTCAGGTCCTCAGGGCTTCAAACCCTGTCTCTGTTTGCCAACGTCTCAGGAGAAACCGACACCAGCGTTTCTATAGTTCTGCTGGTAGTGGGTGGGACCTCCGCGTCCAGTTCTGAGAAAGCTGAGACCTGGCGGGAGGAAGGGATCACCGATCAGTGGACAAGGTTCCCAGTAAAGATTTGTGAGTGCACTTTGTGGGTAACTCTTATCGAATCTTTTCTGATGATGAAGATAAGAAATACTCAATGCAGAGTGCTTGAAGAACACAAAGGAGAGAATGGGGCCCAGGTCTGCCGTCTCCCTGGGCTCTGTGGTCTCAGGCCAGCGGCTGGTCTTCATTTGTAAATATTAGAACCCTCCCACCTTCCTGCCTTTTGCTGTGACACTTTAGCAAATCAATGCAAGAAAAAGGTCCTAACAAAAGGTTTCTTATTTTCAGGGCATCAGGACAACGTGCCTGCAGGGTCTTTTGGTGAGTGTACCACTTTCCTCCGCTGGCCCACCTGGCTTCCTGTCACTGCCCAGGAGGTGGAGAAACGCCTCCGTGGCTACAAGGAAAGAGGTGCCCAAACCTTTCCTCTCTCACCTTTCCCTACAGCACTATTTGTTATATGAATTCCACAGGTAAGTATGACCAATATCCTATCAACTCTGTGAAATTAATTTTTCAAAGTGAATGTGACCAGAAATCAGCTATCCTCCCCACTTCTAGTCACCCTAATCTTTCACTTTGAAGATAATCTGCTACCCCTCAGTGTGGTCAAGTTTAACTCTCCTGTGTTCTTAATGAATTCAGACTTAGATGCGATGAAAAAAGAGGATGAATTAAATGAATTCTTTTCCACATTTTGTATTATAAAGGGTTCATATGATCAGTTAGCAAGCAGGTGAACTTTCATGATCTGAACATGCATTTGTAACTAGCCTCAGACCACGAAACAAACCCAGCTGCACCAAGCAATCCCTCTCCGATGACTTCCTTATTAAATATCACAAATCTACTGTACAGAATGTAAACTTTTAGAGTACACTGACATTTAATCAAGAGAGGACCTAGGACCTCTCTTACGTCCGATGTGGACGTGCTCCATCCCAGCAGAGCCGCTCGCTCCCTCATAAAGCGCACAGAGGTGAAGCCAAGCTCTTCTCAAGCTGAGCTGCAGCAGCACACAGGGAAGCCAAGGGGCAGGACAGGCCACTCGGTCTCTGTGCTCCTGGCTGTGGTCTGGGGCCTGCAGCCTCCAGGACGAGTCAGGATGAGCACAAGGTGTTGGGACTCACTGTTGCCACTGGTGTGGGCACAGGTGTGTGACGGTCACCGCGACTCTCCTGCCACTCCTTACTCCTCTAGGACACATGTGCAGTGTTTGCCTGGTGCCCTGCTCTCCGCCAGGCATTGCCATGCAGCCCTGGGTAGAAGAAACACGGGCCTGGCCAACACAGAGTTAGAGTCTGGTGGGAGGGGCAGCTTGACCAAACCACCTTGGTCTTTCTACCTCGGTGACTTGTGCTCACATGGCTCCGACTCTTTGCTACTATCTGCTCATCCTCCGTGGGCCAGACAACGCCCCTTCAGCCACGGCACAAACTCACACAGTGACCTGCACCTTCTCTGAGCCCCAGGCACCACCAGCCCTACCCAAGTCACCAAATGACCTGAGTGCAGGTCACCACCAGCCTGCTTGACGTCCAGGACAAACCCCAGTGAGCAGGCCCAGTGCCCTTCCCGCTGAGCCAGGAAGCAACCCTGAGTTCAGCCAGCCCAGCCAGGCAGCCACCCCCGGCCTCGTGGAGCTGATTCTCTGAAAGAAATGTGCTGTCATCTCCGTCCTTCCATTTACCAGGCCATCTTCGGGGACCTCTGCCTTCTCTGTTGCTATGTCCTCAGCTGTGGGCATCGTCACCTGTAACCACTGTCTGCCCACCGGCGTGGCCAGGGCTGTGCCTGGTGCTCCTCCGAGCAGCGCCCACTCAGCGACTGGCCAGTGGCGGCCCTGCAGGCCCTGCTGCCCGAGCGGCAGCCACACAGCAGACAAGACCGTCCCGCTGCCCAGCGCGTCCAGACGTTTACTCGCAATGAAAGGTCCCCAGGACCACAGTTGAGGGCAGAGTCCCTCGAGGGGCTTGAGAAAGCTCTAGAAAAGCCCTCACCCCTGACCTGCGGTGGGTGGTCTGCCAGAACTCTGCTCCCGGCCCTCCCCGCGCCCACCCCTCCACTCTGACGGAGTGGGGGCGCTCGGGCCTGCACTGAGCGGGTGACGGGGGCTCCTGGGGACAGGGGGAGGAGGGCCCTTAGAACTGGCGGAGATCACCGCCATCCGCGGTCCTCCTGGCTGTGGCAGGAGGCGAGGCTTCTCCCCAGCGTCCCCGCAGCACTTCCGCCTCAGGGAGGGCAGTCAGGGGCCTCGGGAGGAGGCGCTGCACAGCCTTGGCAGCTGCCCACGGCGTGGCCAGAAATCAACACCCGTTGGCTGACGTCTCTCTGGGGGCGGGGGACACTTCCTCCTACCTGAGATTCCTCTGAATTTCCTTCCTGGCCTCCAACACCAGAGCTCCGGCTTCCTCCCCTGGCCTCCCACCCTCCACTGCCTCCCACCCGGCACCGGCTGGCTCCTCCCCAGGAGAGGAGGGCGAGTCTCGGCCTCACCAGGCCCCACCTCTCAGCCCTGCCAGGCTCCGCCACCCAGCGCCCTTCCCTCCCACCTGGTCTCTTTCCTCTCCTCTCAGACCCCCTGCTCCTCCTTGCCTCCCACTGCCTGTGACAAAGCCCTTCTAAAATAGCGCTGGTGACTCACCGGTGGAGACTCTGAGACTCCATTTATATGTACCCCCCACCAAGGGGCGTGAGTCCTCCACAGATCTCAGCCTTATTTTTACTCGTTCTTGCTGAAGGGTTGTCTGTCAGAGGGGAATAAGTGTCGCGTGGCCTTTGTCTGAGTTTCTCACGTGAGGACTCGGGCTGACAACCCGTTTTTCTCTCTTCAGCCTCTTCCTTCCCACCTCCCTCTCCTTGGTCTGTTTCTATTTCTGCAGGATTTATTAGTAACTGCAGCAGAAATTAAACCAGAATCTTACCAATCCATGTGCTTTGTTTCTAGTCGACGGAACTAGGGGACCTTCATTCCTGCCCCTGGTTCATTCCCACACCCAGGGGGCAACCCGCCATGCCACACTGTCCAGGCCTCTTGCTCTCATTCCCACAGCGTCCACCTCAGGACTCCTCTCCTCCAACCTGGACCCAGGCAGTGGTCACCTAGCCAGTCCCACTGCCCTTGACCATCTCTTACACCCTCCAAGTTGCTGTTCTAAACCTCAGCTCTGATGGTGCCATTACCTGGGCCCCTTGGTTTAAATCTTCCTGAGGCCTGTCTCTGGGCCTTCCCAATCCAACTTCCAGCTACTCCATGGCCCCTGGGCCCTCTAACCCCCATGCCAACTTCCCCAGAGTGGATTCAATGCCCTCTGGTCTACGGTCTGTACCTTTTGATCTTCACTGCTGAGGGAGAGGTACAGAGGAGATGGTGTCTGTTCACTGGACTGGAAGCCTGTGCTGTCCAGTCTCCGTATTAGGCACCAGGGGCACCAAGCTCACAGTCCCCACCTTGATCACCAAGTAAGACAGAAAATAAAGATGAATAAAAATAGTGTTTCAGGACTATTGACCATGACAGAAGCAAGCCCCCAGGTCTGAGCAGGCACAGCAGAGGGGCCTCACCTGGACAGAGGACATCATACAGGTCTCCGGCAGGAGGGGAGCCCTGAGCCGGGCGTTGGGAGCATGTGAGTGGGAATGGATTTGAGGACTGTCTTCTCGATGATGGGACTGTGCTCCCCCAGGGTTCAGACAGTGGGTAAAACAGAACACTTGGCTGTGGACCGGAGTCTGCGCTGGTAGCTCATTGCTCCTCGGTCCTACCTCCACTTCCTCGGGGTGGTTGGTGCCAATTTTGATCTTGGCCAATAAAAACAATTTGTGATGGATTTCATAATCGTAATCGTCCTCCCCCAACCCTGGCTGCCTGCAGCCCAGGAATGGACAGAGGAGCAGAGCACGGGCAGCTGAGCCCCACCAGAGCTAGGACAGGTGGGCCTGTCCCTGTGCCCCTGCCTGTGCAGGAAAGGAAAAGGCTGCCCCCTGCTGGGTGGAGGTCGCAGGTCCCCCAGCCCAGAGCCCCCTCCCTGCAGGCTTCCTGCTGTGGCTGCTTTTCCGCCCTCACCGTCCACTCAGCCGCCCTGTCACATCCCATGGGCTTTAAAACCAAGCAGCAGTCCTCGGTCTGGCAGATGTGGACCCTCGTGACCGCTCCTCTGCCCCGCTTCGCTGGCTGACCTCGCTGGGCCCTCAGTCCTGAAGAGCTACTGCATGTCCTCATGCACGGGGTCCCCTCGTGGCAGGCCTCGTCAGAATGAGTTTTCACGCAGAACTGACCCTCGGGCCTCAGGATAAGGTCTAGACAGAGGAGCTCCTGGTGTCCCCCGCTCTACATCCTGTCACCTCGCACGCTGCACCACGTGTCCTCCCTGCTTGCTCTGTCTCCTCCTGTGTTGGCTCCTGGAGGCCAGGACCCAACGCCAGGGTCAGCCTTCACTTCTGCGCCCACCACCCCCAGACTCCTGGCCTGTAGGGCCACGGCAAGGGCCTGTACTGAGCAGAGAGAGGAGGCTGTCTCCTGGGGGACCCCAGGGGACCTGGCTGCACTCACCCCTGTGTCTGCGGTCAGGCACCACCGAGCCTCCGCCCACGCCTGCCGAATGACTAGGTGAGAGGGAAGACGGGAGAGGCCTGGCAGCCACCAGACAGCCTCTCCAGGTGTCCACCTGAGCTGACCTTGAGGAAGGCCGCAGGGCAGGCGGGCCTGGCTCCGGGGCTCCACTCTGACCCCCACCCCTCACTGGCCAGTGCAGCCTTCTTAGGCCTCTTGTTTGTCTTTAAATAATGTCTGTTATGTGATTATGTGAGCCCAATTTGTTAAGCAAGAACGTGGTTCTGCTTTATAATAAAAGCTAGGTATTCCCCAAACTGAAACAGCTTTAATGAGATGAAAGTCAAGTGCTGCTGTCCCCTTCCACACACCACGTCACTGCCGCCTCAGGAAAGCCGGACCTGGGCTCCCGGGGTGCCCAAACACAGTGCCTCGGGAAGCCCTCTGTCCGTCCTGGGTGAGTCCGCTACCTTCACTCCTCATTCAGCAAGAGCTTTATTCTGACTTACTAAAGCTTGTTTTCTTTAAAGCACCTTCAAAGATCATGTGGTCACTCAGCCATTAGAAAGGACAGGCGGCCCCACCCAGGAGGCCACAGCTCAGGGTCCCACTGCAGCTCACAAGGGGTTCGACCTGAGGTGAGCTGGTTCCAGCAGGCCCCTCAGCCACCTGCACAGGTTCTCGACGCGCTGAGTGTCCCCAGGACTGGGCAGCGCTGGCATGTCCCCTTCTACTGACACTGTCAAAGGGAGGGCAGCTCTTACTGTTCAGGGGCAGATGGAACAGGGCACGCCGCCTCCGCCACCTGGAAAGCAAATCCACAAACACGAAGCCACCCAGCAATTCAAGGAGAACAGAGGAGAGAGGGTCTGGGCGCCCAGGGATCCGGGGAACCTTAACAGTGCACTGCAGACTGCGATCACATCGAGAGATGCCCGTGTGACTCTGTCTGGGGACATCGAAAGCTTATTGGTAATAAAGCATAACTTGTAAGACAGCGTGGTGACAATTAGTGAAATTGCCATGGGGTGGCGAGTTGGTTGCCCAGTTCAGAAAGCACTGAGTTTAGCATCAGAGCGCAGCTGGCATCCCGGCTACCTAGGAGCTGTGGCAGGAGGGACGGAGCTTGAGGCCAGCCTGGGCCGCAGAG